TTTGCTGTTTTCTCTGTTTCACGCGCTCAGGAACATTTTCAATACCAGAGAGAAAGAGGAGCACTCTTCTTGGCACAGGGGGAGTTGTCACACCTACAAAATAAAGGATGCAGTCCCAAAGGTTCATAGCCTCAGGGTCTGAAAGATGGTCAGAAACTGCTTATTAGGCTGCTTTAAATACAACTTTTGAAAAAGGAAGTTGTTCCTTGCCAAAATATTACTAGTTAGTATTCTTGTGGTATGAGAGTGTCAGACTGACTGGGTGACAATAAATGAAGGCAGTTACTTCTCTTCTGCTTTCCTTCCTGCACCCCAAAGAAATGAAGGAGAAAGTGGTGTCTTCCATCCATCATGAAGGCTAAGACAGGCTGGAAAATACTCTTCAGCTCCAGCAGCAGGAGCGCCTCAAAGTGTCTTGGTGATGAATGCACTCGCTTAGCCATGACGAAAGCAGATTCTGAATAACACGTTTCAGGTTTGTAGAATCAACCTGAACTGGAAGTAAAACTAACGCTTTCAAGTTTTACTTCCTTTGGGAAGTGTTGAGGTTATTTTCCATCTCACAGGGTAAAGTGGAACAGCTATAAAGAAGACCTAGAAAATGGGCTAGTTCCCAAAGGACTGTAGTTGGAGATAACTTTTGGGAGATTTGCCCATAAATATTGCAATTTTCAGTCAATGGTCTGGTGAATAATTTTTGCTTCAGCTTTCTGAGCTTTCATTGAAAGACAGACAAAATCTCTCTTTGTATCCCCCCCAAAACTGTAGCTTCCTGAGGAATAAGAATATCCTAAAATACTCAAAGCAGTATTGTTTTCCAGAATTTCCCCACAGCCTGAAATAACAGATCTGAGGGGCGCAAATGGGATGTTGAATGCCCAAGTTTTAACATGATGTTTAAAACATTAGTATTGCTAATTACTTTAAATGCTCGTTATTTCAGCGAAATTTGCAGGCGTGTGCTTACCCTGCAATCTCACACTGCGAATTTTTATCGGAAGCGCCTACAGCTACTCAGACCTTCAGTTCCTCCCTTGAGAACTCTTAGGGCAATTGTGATGAGCAGGACAGGACCTTTCTTAGAGGTGAACTTTCATGAACGAAAATTTTACTTTTCATTAAATAGAGAAAAAATGAAGATAATAGAGATGTATTTCATTTCCCCCCCCATAGCAAAGCTAATTGAATTAAAAAGTGGTTATAAAGGTAGAAATTAATAAATACCTGGGTTCATTTCTACAGTAAGAGAACACAGGAGCTCTAAATCTATACGAATGTGCCATTTTTAAAACAACTCTACAAGTGTAATCCTTTATTGCCATTCCTCTCCTCAAAAACAGTTCAACCTGTGGTTGGTGTAAGGTGGCTGGTGGCTGATTGGAGGGCGTCACCCTGAAGAGGCTTAACAAGAACATGCTTCATGGACGCCTTGCAAAAATTCCTGTGACACATGGCTGTTTTGGCAGACTTCATGCAAATTTGCAGTATCGGTTCAAACAGGAGTCAAATTCCTGCCGGGGATGGACTTATTCACCTTCGTAATGGGGAAGGTGTTTCCCCTGGTAGTGCTGCAGGATGTGATTTTAAAGGCATTCGTTCCTGTACATGGCCATAGCTGGTGAGGAGTGAAGCAATCTCTGATTATGCAGGTTTGTGGGTTGATGGGACATGAGGCCATGGGCATGAACTGGAACACAAGGTTCCCTCTGAACATCAGGAAACACTTTTTTACTGTGAGAGTGACTGAGCACTGGCACAGGTTGCCTACAGAGGCTATAGAGTTTCCATCCTTGGTGATGTACAAAAACCATTTGGGCACGGTCCTGGACAACTGGCTCTAGGTGGACCTGCTTGCACAGAGGGGTTGGAGCAGATGACCTTCATGGGTCCCTTTCCACCTCAGCCATCCTGTGTGTGATATCCTAAAGTTCAAAGCATGGCCTCAAGTACCCCATTTGTTACTCAGCTTACTGTTGAGTCATTAATGGTGATACATTTATGATGAGCAGTAAGCCCAGGACTTTGGTAATAATTTCATAATAAATTGAGTAGCAGAGTTTAGATAGCCAACTCCCTCTTTAGTAGGTGGTGTGACAGAGTTTAAACAAAATTCTTCTGAGATAATGTTACTCTGTCTTCCTGTGGCTTTCCACATTGTATAAGAAATTTGAGAATTTTGGAGTGATGTTTTAAGTATCAGGAAATGCCCGTGTACTGAGGAGGCTGTGTTTCTGGTTACTATTGAGCAGGGGAAACAAAAGGGGGTGGGGGAAGGTTAAGAGATGAGACAAACACAGGAGCGCCCACGGTCTTAGTGTAAAGAGGCTGTGTGCAACGTCAAGTCTTGGCTAATCCTTGCATTTTGCCTCCTACCCCTGGCTGCTCCGGGGAAGGTCTAAGAGAGGTGTGAGCTGGCAGCAACTATGAGGTGCATTGGACTGAATAACTTTCGGGGATGCAGCCTGGGACTCTGTAAGTCAAGGGAGCATTTAACAACCTCTGTTACAGTGAGCAGGTCCACATGAATGCTGGAATTTAGAGGTTAGGATCCCATTGGGTTAGTCACAGAATCACAGAATGGTCAGGGTTGGAAGGGACCTCTGGAGATCATCTAGTCCAACCCCTAGTCCATCTCTGCTGACACAGACTGCTGGTATTTTCTACAGCTTTTCCCTTTACTCTCTTCCCTGCTGCTCTTCCACAGTCCAATTGAGCTATGGTCATCAGGAAGCCTTTCCTAGAAGCAGCCCATCTCATCATACCTCCCCAGTTCCTAATTTCACTGCTTTTACTTGCTGCAGTGCCTTTCTCTGCTGGTTGTCTGCCTGCGGTGGCTTTGTTGCTGAAGCTGGGCAGGCAGGCAAAGCTGTGGAGCAAGCAGGAGTGGGAGTGCAAAGCACAACAGGCAGCCAGGCAGAGGCACTGCTGTGGGACCTAGAGACAAGGAGTAGTGTGCAGAGACAAGAGACTCTTGTCAAACTCATGTCCTTTGGAAGGAAGCACCCATAGGCTCTGATTGTGGGTCTGGGAGCAATCAATGTGTTGGCCATTGGATGTTCACATTTCAAAAGAGAATCGCTGTCCCCAACACTCCTCCTTCCTACTGCTCTTATGCAGCATGTCAAGAGGACAAAATAGGGCAGGTAAGTCCTAAGAAGGTAAAGGCAAAGCCCTGAGCGTGACCCCTCACCAAAACCTCTGCTCCTGCCTCAGTGAGCAGGTATTTGTGCAGGAGAAGCTGCACAGGAGCGCGCCTGGTGGCAGAAGCGAGGTGAGCAGGTCTGGGTACATCTGCCGTGGCCGAAAGCACCCTTGGGGCCACCTGTAACAGCAGCTCTGCTACAACTATCGACAGCTTCAAAGCGTGGCAGGAGCTGCCACCACAGAGCACACCCTGCCTGCCACAGCCCCCCGCTAGTCCACATCCCATGAGATGCGTGTACAGCTGGGCCATCTGCACTCATATGGGCAGGAACCAGCAACAAAACAAGGCTATCTTTGGCAGGAATTACTGGTTTTGGCCATTCCCAGTGTCTGCATTTTCACCCTTAGGGCAGGAACGGTGGTGAGAATGTCCCAACACTGCACCATCTTCACATCTGCTACGAGCCCCGACACACACTTTGGGGGGGCCATGGGAAGGGGAGCTCTGGAGAGCGGTTTGCAGGCAGGGTCTGGCTGCGGCTCCCCAGAGGATTTCCCAGGTCCATCATGGGAATGGACAGATCTGGGCTGACCAGAGGGCGCAGCTGGGGCATGAAGCAACCTCACAAATCAGCAACCCCCCTCAGACTCATGTCCTCCTGAAATGGAGAAATTATTTACCCTTGGGTCAGCACAGCCACCCCGCGTGTGACCCTGCTTAGGAGCCACATGGGCATCACTCCCCAGTCACCAGCAGTTGAGAGTGAGCTGGTGGGCTCACTCAGACACACAAGCGCAAACCCACATCAACATGGACCTCTGGCTTCATTCATGCCAGCAGACAGGCACGCTCCCTGCCCCAAAGTGAATCAGTAACAAAAAGTAACATCAGATGGTCTTCAGACCTGTTGCTTCTGGTAATTAATGTGGTTTTAAGAGCTGTCTCTCCTCTGTTGCTGTTCAGAGTACCGTGGGAAGCCGTCTCCCTTCCTACAAGAACAAGGAAACATTTTGATCCTATAGTGTTATATTCAACTGTGCTAGAAAGTAAATAATGGGCCCTACTGAGCCAGCTCGTTTTGATGCAGCCAATGACCGCTGACACAAGCTGCTCGCACCTAAGCAGGACGAAAACAGTGTCAGTTAATTTTTAATACCTTGTTCACCCAAGGAGCTGTCAGGTTCACAGAGCAAACAAAATGGAAACGACTGGAAATTTTCCTTCTCATGTCTGTTTATGGTTTTGGTTTTTTTTTTTTAAATCACGGATGTTACTGGTATACACCTTTGGACCAGAGGTGTAACTGTTAACTTGCAGTGTGATATCCCATTTGCCATACTAGACCACATCTGAATAGTTATCTACCAAGAAGACCAACCAACACCAGTTATTTACCCGTGGGCAAAGGAGCTTCATTGCCAATTAACCATAAAATGGTGGCAGAAACTGGACTGGTGTAACCCTAGTAGCCTCATCCTGTATTTTAAATTTATACCCCAAAGGTAAATGCATAAAATACAGCACACTCTTGCAGTCTAGTTCATTTTGCACCATTTGCGGACTTGCTTCACCTGATTATTCTGGTAACTGAAAGTTGCCGGGGGAAAAGTTCTTCACTTTTCCTCAGAAACGGCACAGGAACTGCCGCACACCCCCAGCTTTCGGTTCCTGTCACCTAGAAGGTGGTGGGATGACGTCTTACCTGAGCTGGCGATACTGTCTGTATGCCAGAGATGCAACACAGATTTCTGGGGCAGCTGGCCCACAGACTGCATATCTGGAAGCTCAGAGCAGCCACCCAACGATGACCACGCCTGCCACCTTCCTCTTCTCCCCTTTTTTTTGTCTGTTTTAGGGGCTTTTTCCTCCTGTCCCACCCGCCCGGTCAGCACCTGCCGTCCCCTCACTGGGCCCGATCTCTGCGTGCGCCACGTTCCCTCAAACCAGGCGCTGCCTGGGGCCATGGCACACAACAGACCAGTGGGCACCAGCACACGCGACCTGAGGGTGTGTTTGAGGGCTATGACGGTAAAAATCTGAAAAGGGGAGAGAAAGAGACGTAATCCCCCGCCTCCTTTTCTACGCGCTCCTGAGCACAGACAGAACAGCACCTGTGGCCCTCTGCGCCCACCCCCCACCTCCTCCACACCTCAGGCCCAGCGGCGTCAGTCGGCGCCACGCCACTCTACGTCAC